GAAGTCAGACTGCCTGGTTCAAAGACCAGCTCTATCACTTGGTATCTTTGATCTTCACTTAGAGCTGACCCTCTGTGTGCCTCAGTCTCCTTATCTATAAAATGGGGATAATAATAATACTTCATAATGTTGTTCTGAGGATTGAACAGACTAATATACTGAAAGCCCTTAGTGCCTGGCATATAGTAAACACTTTCTAAGTATTAGATTATGTTCATAGTATTGTATATAGTAGATTAATATATATTTGATATTACATGGACATATGACATGTGACATAAGACAACTTTGAAGATATGAGTAGACTTGAATTTTCTGAATAATAAAAAGATCAGATTTTTACATTGACTGTAGAAATTAACCCTTCTATTGCTGGCTGGCAGTGGGGCTTCCCCACGACTGTAGCTTGTGGTGGAGGTCACCAAAGCCCCCGCAACCTGTCTGCAGGTTCATATTACAGATTTAGTTTTTGGGATGAAGCTACCATCTTTCCAGAAATTTCTAATTAAGATGAGAATCATTTTATACCTTGCTTCAGCTCAGCTGAAAGTGACCTTGTTCCCATGAGGAAAATGAAGGAGCGGTGCGAGCTAGGATTTGTGGGAGAGGGCTGGCACGGGCTCAGGTGGCTGGATTGCTGTCAGATCACATGCTACAAGAAAGACGCCTGTGGCTGCCTGAGGCCTATGGGAAAGGATTCTGAGGCTGAGCTGGGGCCCAGTGGCGGAAGGCAGCTCTACGTGATTATGAATGTTTGTCATGCCTGTGTGAGAGAGGAGTGAGAGACAGCCTAGGGATCTGCCGTCTTTGGGAAAGGCATTGCATAGTCATTGTCTGAGAGAAGAGAAAGGCAGATGAGGACTCGAAAATTCATTTTGCCTACATCACATTTTGGCTGTGAGTTGGCCCTGCCCATACCTTCCCATATTTTGTTTCTTTTTGGATGTAACTCCAAAACCAGGTACCCAAGCTAGCAGTTCAACCATAGATCCCCTCCTCTCTCACACAGGCCTCTCCCACTGGGCAGAGCTGGGCAGGGGCAGGAATGGTGCTTATGTCATAGCAGGTCAACGTTTGGTGTTGGGAACCACCAAGATCTGGATCTGAATCCTGATTCTGCCACTTATTAGCTGTGTGAACTCTGGCAAGTTACTTGGATGAGCTGTAATTGCTTTAATGTTGCTTATCTTGAGGCCAGTGCTTGTTTAGCTGCTAGAGAAAATGAAGCACTGTGACAGTTAGAACATGGTTTATCCTCTAAGTGTAGGGGTGGGTGACTTAACCCTTGCCTGGCATGGCCTTAGGTTCTGTTTGTAATTTGTATCTTATGGCCAGACAGAGTATGTTCTGTCAGTCTTGTGATATCTATTTTAACATTAATGTTGGTCAGTTGTGTCTAAACTGCAAAAGGGAGTGGGTATAATATGGCATGTCCAACCTCCTGTCCTGTCATGGCCAGGAACTCAGTTTTTAATGTTTCTCTAGGGTCCTCATGGCAAAGAGGTTGGGGCACTTAGGATTTTCAGTTCTCAAATGGAATATTTTTCTTTGTTTTTGTGGTGCCCATGCTTTGCCAGTCATATAAACTCCTGTGTCATCTACTTTGTGCATAGCTCAGCACTGGGACATGTTGGATATTTGAAATTAGACCAGAAAACAGGTTTCTAGGGACCGGTGGATTCTGGGTTCACCTAACCCCTTAGGGGCAATAGCTTTAAGGTGACCCTCCCATTTTCTCCTCACAGATTGATGCTGCAGTTGAGGCTGCCAGAAGAGCCTTTCCTGGCTGGTCATCCCGGAGCCCCCAGGAGCGCTCGCAGGTCCTCAACAAGCTGGCAGATTTGCTGGAGCAGTCCCTGGAGGAGTTGGCCCAGGCGGAATCTAAAGACCAAGGTGAGAGCTGTCCCTGTAACAGGTGGGACTCAGGACACTTCTGATTATTCATATTGTCCCTCCTGGGGCCATCAGGCCAGCCCGCACATGTGCTCCTCATGGCAACGGCAGAGGGGAAGAGCAGCACCCCGAAGGCTCGTCAGGCCGGGGCCACAGCTCTTACGCTTCCACCTTGTTCTGATGGCCAAGGCAGTTTGCATGGCTGAACCCAAGGCCAATGGGCAGGAAACATACTCTGTCTATTTGGTGGAAGGAACTGAAAAGATACATGGGAAAGGAAGGGCATGGACATGGGGAGAGATGAAGAACTTGGGCTGATCATGCAATCTTCCACCCATTCTAAGTAGAGCAAAGATAACTAGAAGAGCAGTTATACAGTCAGGTTATTTAGAAAGTTTTTTGATAAGTCAGTCACTATTCCACTTCCAATGCAATTTACCATTTTTTCCCACTCCTTCCCAGACACAGCTCAGGGTAATGGTGTAAATCTTTGTAAATCTTTGTAATAATATCTGTTAGGAAAAGCCAAGAACTTTTAAAATTATATGCGTGCTATCAACCAACCTAAAGTTAAGAAGCAGCCTGAGTCCAAGCCATTTAAAAAGAAAATGTTTCCTCTGCTGCTGTTCTTGACTGTAGAGTCTCCCTGCATCCCTAAAGATAACTTGGCAACAAGCTAACTCAGTAAGCTCACGTGTCTTTTTGTTCCAGCCAGGAGCTAGGACGTGCACAGGCATGTGATGGGTGAGCTAGTGACGCACAGCATCCTGTGCCAGAGGTTCCCATCAGTCCTTCTTATGACTTCACCATGTGTTGGGAGGACATTTCATATATATCCTGTTTTCATAAAAATAGATTTTTTGATATGCAAATACAGCTGTCTTAACACCCATATTGCAACCCCTTTGTCACATGTACAAAACCTGGTGATTTTGAATTGTAAGAGTTTGTGTGGGTGAAGTGGTAGCATCTGGCAAATTCGTTTTTTTTTTTCTTTTTGAGACAGGGTCTCACTCTGTCACCCAGGCTAGAGTGCAGTGGCGTCATCATAGCTCACGGCAACCTCAAACTCCTGGGCTCAAGTGATCCTCCTGCCTCAGGATCCCAAGTAGCTGGGACTACAGGCGTACGCCACCACGCCCGGCTAATTTTTCTATTTTTTGTAGAGATGGGGTCTCGATTTTGCTCAGGCTGGTCTTCAATTTTTGACCTCAAGTGATCCTCCTGCCTTGGCCTCCCAAAGTGCTAGGATTATAGGTGTGAGCCACCGCACCTCGCCAGCATCTGGCAAATTCATGATAAGAGCTGCAAAGTGTTCAGTCCACCAAGCAAAGATTGTTTGGCTCAATGTTAACCCCCCTAGCTCATTTTATAACCTCATATCTAATTATTTCATAGCTTTATCAAGCCACGATCAGCTCTTTGTGTGGTCGAGGAATGTCTGTCCCAGGCTTGAAGGAACCAGGGCTATTTCAGTGTGAGTTAGGATTCATGTGTGATGAAATTTGACCGATAGAGTGTCTCCATGAACTGACAGTGCTTTATGTTGTCCACCTCTTACAGGGAAAACCTTAACACTGGCAAGAACCATGGACATCCCCCGGTCTGTGCAGAACTTCCGGTTCTTTGCCTCCTCCGTCCTGCACCACACGTCCGAGTGCACGCAGATGGACCACCTGGGCTGCATGCACTACACCGTGCGGACCCCCGTGGGAATCGGTAGGTGCTGTTCCGTGACAGCCGCGTCACGATTACGCATAGGGATGCTCACAAAATTTTATAGAATTCATCTCAAGGAACAGACAAAGGAAAAGGAAAAGCGATTTTTTTGACTTTGACTTAAATCTTGTTGGCCTCAAAAATCTATTTCTGGTTTATTTTCTTTGTGTCAAATTCCCTACTTATTCCTGGAACATTACCTTGGAAAATCACAAGGAAAAGAATGATGCTAAGAGTAAATTCATATGCCAGGATTTTTTTTTTCTGCTGCCTATAATTTAAAAAGAAAAATATCTCTTTCCAGAGAGCGCCGTGGTTAAGACTCTAGAATTGTATGGGTAAGTCATAACTTCTGTGTGCTTCAGTATCGTATCTGCAAAGGGGATAATAGTTTAATTTTCTCTTTGTATACGTTTTATATAAATTAAATAAAATAATAAGTGTAGGGCATTTAGAATAGTGCCAGGTATGTGGTAAATAAGCCTAGATTGAGAATTATCTACTTCCCTCATTCATTCCTTTGCCTTTTGGAGGAATATGTAAATGTCTGTGATGACTGAAATTGTCCACTAGATGTCACTGTTTCCTCTGAGAAAAAAGAAACCA